GGTTTGATTTCTCCCAACTCTAATTGCAAATAAGTAGAATATGACATTAGATTCACGCTAGCTCCTAAATCTAACAAAGCTTGTCCAAACTCATGGTTTTCAATGTTGCACACAATGGTTGGACAACCAGGATCCTTGTACTTGGGAGGAATCCACTGTTCAATTAGAGCACTAACTTGCTCTGTCAGGAATGTTGTCTTCTTCACATGCTGCTTCCTCTTAACTGTACACAAATCTTTGAGAACTTTTGCATAAGTAGGAACTTGTTTAATCACATGCAAAAGAGGAAGATTGATTTTTACCTACCTTAGATTCTCTAGGATTTCATTGTTTGGATCCAGAGTTCGCTTGCTTGATTTTAAAGCTTGAGGGAATGGTACCTTAACAAGACTCTTTGTTACCTCAGGTTCCTTGGGCAGCTCGGCATTACTATTATCTTGATCATTTTTCACATCCTCTGATTTGTCCATTGATGAGTCACCACTTCATGTCGCAATGGCATTCACATCCTTCAAATTCTCTTGCGCCATGTGTTGGCCATAGTGTGCGGACTGAGCTTGAGAAGGGAACTTACCTCGCTCATTTACACTTAAGGAGCTCATCAATTTGAACAATTGGCTCTTTATCTCTTTGTTTCTTCAACGACCTGCATAATCAAAGATTCAAACTTTTGGTTAGTCTTACCCTGTGTGTCAATAAAAGCATGCAAAGTGTCTTCTAAAGGACTCCTAGAAGATAAAGGTGCATGATATGATTTAGGGGGTTGTGCAGGCGGTTGATTTTCAGACTTCCAGCTAAAATTGGGGTGATTGCGCCATCCCGAATTATAGGTATCAGAGTAAGGTGTAAAAGGCTTCTTGTACATACCTAAGGCATTACATTGTTCCTCATACATCCCTCTCATCTCAGCGAGTGTGAGACATTCTTGGGCGAGGTGATCTACCTCGCCACACACAAACACATGGTCCAAAAGACTCTAAATGATTAGCCATGTGTGTTGGCTGTAAGTCCTTAGTCTTTAACATATTTAGCTCCCTAGTGAGCATTTCAACCTTAGCCTTTAAGCTATCCTCTTCCCTAAGATGGTAAATTCCACCACCATTTGGGTTCCTTGCAGCTTGTGACCTATCTGTGCTTTCAGTAGCACTAGGTCCAGTCTAAGTGTGAACTTTTTCAACAAGCTCATTGAGGTATTCTATGGCCTCATCAGGATATTTTTGTAAGTACTCACCATTACACATCATCTTCACAAATTGACGCTCTCTAGGTGTAAATCCCTCATAAAAATAGCTCACTAAGCACCAATTCTCATACCCATGATGAGGGCACACACTCAACAACTCCTTAAATCTCTCCCAAGATTAATACAAGGTCTCACTATCCTTTTCTGGAAAGGTGGAGATTTGTCTTTTTAAAGCGCTAGTCTTATGTTGAGGAAAATATTTATTAAAGAAGACCTAAGTCATCTCACTCCATGACCCAATAGATTGTGGTCTTAGTGAATATATCCAACTCTTAGCTATATCTTTCAAAGAAAAAAGAAAGAACTTAAGTTTCACAACATCATCAAGTGCAATTTGATTATGAAAAGTCGCAACTACTTCCTCAAACTCCCTAATGTGCACATATGGATTTTCATTTTCCAAGCAATGAAAATTAGGCAGTAACTGTATCATCCCTGTTTTAAAATTCAGTTGGCGAGTATTAGCTGAAAACATGATGCATGATGGTGTGGCTGTGCGTGTAGGGTGGAGGTAATCATGAAGAGTTCTAATGGGTTGATTTTTGTGTTCACCCATGTTTTCGGGACTTGATGGATTTTCAAATAAAGGATTTATAAAATCTGATTCTAATTCTACCAAAGGCCTACTAACAAATCTACCTAAGGTGTCCCTATATCTGTGCATGCAAAACAATGGAATTCTAAAAGAATAAAAATACTATAAAAAGAAAGAATAATAATAATAATAATAATAATGCAGCAAGCTAAAAGAAGGAATGAAGTTACCGCTTTTGCAGGCTGTTGAAAAGAAAAACTATCTACCAATTCTTCTACCGTCTCCCCGGCAACGGCGCCAAATTTTGTTTACACCCAAAGAATAATGCGGTAATTGTAGCACAACTTTGGGGTGTCGATTCCACAGAGAGACAAATTAAAAGAATAATAGAATGAACAAATAAACTAAAGACGAATATTAAATGACTACTAGATAATAAAGATTAATTTTATATGCAAATTAAAGTGAAACAAGTTACTAACAGAAAAAGTATTCAAATTTGACAAACAGTAAAGTGTCGGAAATCCCTTGCACAAATCTAGTATTTTAATTATTCTTAATTCATTGAATAACTCAATTGAGAATTTAATTCCCAAAATTCCCAGACGGAAGATATAGATTTATAAACCAAGATTAAACCCAATATAACCCTTTGAAAAATCATTCACCACTTTTAAAATACGTAAATTATTATCACTATTGAGAAAATCCAACGACGACAATATACTCAGGAAAGCAATATTGCAGCAAAGAATTAAATCAATATAAATAAATAATTGGTCTAAACATAATCAAAGAATTAATCCATTCAATAAAAAAACCATAACTGAATCCATAAACAAAATAAATTCTATGATTATTTGTAGAAAACAATATCAACAATAAATTGAGAATGATAAAACAAAAGAGTTTTAGTATTTAAAAATCAATTGCATAAATTAAAAATAAATAAAATATCATCTACTGTGCAAGTTCATCCCTAACCTTACTTGAGAATTTAATTAGCCATAAATATGATGGACAACAAAAATCTCCCAAAGAAATAAAACAAACCGACAGCCATCGGAATTATTTCTGCTCTAATCTGCGTTCGTCTTCTTCAGCCCAGCCGCTGCCTTCTTTTTCCTTTTCTTTTCTTTGTTCCAGCCGCCACTCCCAAGAGAAAGCATCAACAAAAGGCCAGCCCCAGCACAAAGAAAAAGAACAGGTTTTTAAAGTCAAAACTCTTTTCTAAAAATTACATTTTTCTCCTTTCTTTATTCTAGCCCTTTTCACTTCAACCCCTCTGTATTCTAGCTTTTCTGTTTTAGCCTCTGAAGCCCAACTCTTGTGTAATTTGAGAAAGTTAAAGTCCAATGAAAATTATGTGTGCTGGGCCCACGTAAAAGATGTATCAATTTCAGCCTTTTTACTCCATGGGCTGTTATGAAAATAAAAACAAATATAAAACCCGAATAATAAAGTTCTAAAAATATTAAATATAAAACCCAATTGTAAATTATTTTTCACCAACCAATAATGCAATATTTAAGATTTAAAATGTTATAAAATCATGCTCAATTATATCTCAGTGTGAATAAATATTAAATTCAATAATATAAATTATATCTAATTATTTATATTCATATTTTAGCAATTTAATCTAATAATAGAGTATTTAAAATACACTTTTGCGTACTCATCACGGTGGAAGATTATGGGTGGCAGTGGGTTTTGGGTGATGGTGGTGGGTGGCAATGGGTACCGTTGTGGCGACAAATGGTGGTGGGTGAATGGTGTTGGGGGGGGGGGTGGCAGTGGTGGTAATGATGAGGGAGTTGATGGCGATTGTGGTTGGCGACAGTAACAGCGGTGAGTGGTGGTGGTGGCAATGGTAGTAGCTAGGAGTGATGGTTGGTGTAGGTTGGTGACGATAATGGGTAGCGATGGTGGTGGTTGTGGGGACAGTAGTGGTAATGTTGGTGGTGGTGGTGGTGGGCGGTGTTAGTGGTTTGTGGCGGTGATGGTAGTGGATGGTGGAGGTGGTGGACGATAATTGGTGGTGGTGGTTGTGATGATTGGCGATGGTAGTGGCGGTGGCGGTGGTGGTGGTAGCGGAGTTGGGATGATGATGGTAGTGGTAATAAATATAAAAATGGGATAATGTTAAAAGTTTTTAAATAACCTCTTTCATTAAAGGTATTTTTGTTAATTGTTGATTTTATAAACTTTTGACCTTAAAAGTATTAAGACTGATCCTTAAGCAAAAATGGTCTTTGAATTTGTTCATCTCTTCAAATCTTCTTCATTAAGAATATTTTTGTTAAAGGTTAATTTTATAGACTTTAAGCCCTAAAATTGTTGAGGCTGGATCTAAAGCCAAAAAAATCCATGTGTACCTGTCACCAAATCTCTCTATCTTTATTATTAAATTTCTAAGTTCACCATTTCTATATCAACTTCATTGGTAACTAAATTTATCTTATATACACTCTTTTAATAAGTAAGCTCACATTATATCTTCTCACAATTAATGTTTTATTCACTATCTCATTTCAGACACTCGCAAATACAGTTTTTCCATATGAATTTCTCTATTTAGATGTAGGCTAGTATTAATTTTATGTTGGATTTCATATGTAATAACTCGATAAATATACCATTTTCCCTTGTTGCAAACTTGGAATAACTAATCAGAACAGTTACCCCCAAAAAAAAATCTAATCAGAATACATACCTATATATATATATACACACATATAAATCCTAAATAAAAAATTATTAAACTTGGAGAGAGAACAAAACACAACAAAAATAATAAAAATTCATACAACACACATGAAATCAAATATAAAATTAAATTGAGAAGTAATACTAACATGTATCTCTCTAGAAAAATACATATTGAAAAAGTGTTCTGTGAGTGCATGAGATGAGATAGTAAATGAAACCCTAATTGTGAGAAAATATAAGATGGACTTATCTATGAATGGAGTGTATATGGTATGAAGTGAATTTAATTACTAATAGGTGAGCATAGAAGAGATAGACTTAATAATTTTTAATAAAATTTTTAATAGAATAAAAATGAATATTATAATGTGAGAATAATTCGATGGTTTCATAATACTTCCTCTATATAAGGAACTATCATCTATCCACTCCTATTTTACAAGTAACTACTATTTTACGAATACCCTTCTCTCTCTCTCTCTCTCTCTCTCTTCAATATTATCGATCACCATGAGCAAGTTTCTTGATCAGGCCTACTCACATTCAAGAGTTCAAAAGTCACTATATTTGGCCTTTATCATACTTCTTCCCACCATAGTTTCCGGTGAGTGTACATGTGATGCTGAAGAAGAAGGTCATGGCAAGCGTAAAGCACTTGGATACAAACTGATCGCAATAGCCACAATCCTCGTAGCCAGTGCAATCGGTGTCTGCCTTCCAGTATTGAGCAAGACCATACCGAGTTTAAGTGCCGATAGGGATTTATTTTTCGTCATCAAGGCTTTTGCGGCCGGTGTCATTCTAGCAACTGGGTTTATACACGTGCTTCCTGATGCTTTTGATCACTTGACAAACCCGTGTTTGAATGAGAATCCATGGCAGAGCTTTCCGTTTACAGGGTTCGTGGCCATGGTATCGGCAATGGGTACTCTTATGGTTGATACCTACGCTACTTCTTACTACAAGAAATCACACTTGAACAAAGCTGGGCGCGAGGAAGAGATGGTAGTTGATGGGCATGTTCATGTCCACACACATGCCACCCATGATCATGCTCATGGATCGATACTCTCTGTAGGGGATTCGGATTCGTCTGAACTGCTTCGTCATCGTGTTATATCACAGGTGCTTTTTACTATTGATTTTTTATGTTCTGTTTGCTTTTTTATCTACTTTTTTTACATTTAAACTATTTTCCATTTTATCTTATGCTGGTTTGGTCCTATAGCACCATATGAGAGTTGACGTCGGGGAGGAGCAAGCTTCATGTAAGAGGGGTGGGTTTTTGTTTTTCGCGCGGGGGTAGTACGACGCCCATAGACTTTGGACAATAAACAGTTGTCGTTCAAGTGGAACTGTTGTCATTAATACGACCAATAAATGATGTCCTAAACAAGAGCAACTTATCTAACTACTAAATTTACCTAATTAACCTTTATTTTTGAATTCACCGTAAAAGAAAGAATGATTGTTTAGTCTCAATAATTATTAAATACACTTAATCAACCCTTACTTTTGAATTCGTCACGGAAGAAAGAACGACTAATTAGTTTCAACAACTAGAACATAATTTCAAAGAATATAAAGAATTTAGAAGTTCATGGAAAGCCAACCTAGGGAGGTGAGGTGGGAAGACCGAAAGAAAACAAGCAATGTATGTGAAGGGTGGAGGGTTCCACTGGGGGAGGAGCGTGTGGTGTGCATATGAGATTTTTTTTATCTTTAATTTTGCATTGATTTACATTCAAAATTTTCACACCAACTCTCGAATTATGCTCATGTGTCACAATTTCTCTCACTTAGAATAGAATTTTTGTGATTATTGTACTCATTTTTTGTTTTGATCAGGATCATTGTACTTTCTTAAAAAACAACACAAGGCATTATTTATTTATGTTTAAATGATAGAGGATAAATCAGAAAAGGGCAAACTAAGGGAGTAAAATGAAATTTCTCTCTCTCTCTCTCTCTCCATCGTGAATACGACACACACAGGCTTTGGACTATGGACAACTCCCATTCAAGTGCAATTCTTGTTATGAATAAGGTCGATAGCTGATGTCTTAAATAAAATCAACTACCAAATTCCAATTAGATGGAAGTCAACCTGATTAGTCTTTACTTTTGAATTCTCCATGGAAGAAAGAACGTTTGTGTAGTCTCCACAACTAAAACATAATCCCACAGAGAATATAAAGAATTTAGAAGTGTCATTTCACATATAAGGGAATTCAACCTAGGGAGGTGACACAAACCTCCTAACATGGTTGGGGGGTGGAGTTCAATAAAATAACACACGCAGGATTTAGACTACAAACAACTATCGTTCAAGTGCAATTGTTGTCGTGAATACAATTAAGAGATGATTTCCTAAACAAAAACCAACCTATCCAACTAATAAATTCCAAATAGATGGAAGTCAACCTGATCAATCTTTACTTTTGAATTCGCCACAAAACAAATAATGATTGTTTAGTCTTAACAACTAGAACGTAATCCCACAGAGAATATATGGAATTTAGATGTTCTGTTTAAGACCATAGAGGGGAAGCCAACCTAGGAAGGTGATAGAGACTTATCAACGCGTTGGGAAGACTAAAAGAAAAGCATCAACGTACACAAAGGGTGGAGGGTTCAACTAGCGGAGGAGTGTGTGGTGTGCATATGAGATTCTTTTATCTTTAATTTTGTCAATTTGCATTGATTTACATTTTGAATAGAAATTTGTGATTGTAGTATTTTCAGCCAAAACAACACAAGGGTTATTTATTTATGTTCAAATCATAATGGAAATAAAGGAAATAAATGAAATTTATTCCTCTAAAATAAAAGAAAAAAATGAAATTTATTCCTCTATCTCTCTCTTTTGAAATCACGAATACAACATACATATACTTTGGACTATAACAACTACTGTTCAAGAGCAATTGTTGTCATGAATACAGCCTATAGATGATGTTCTAAATAAAATTAACCTATCCAACTACTAAATTCCCATTAGACCGAAGTCAACTGATCAGTCTTTACTTTTGAATTCGTCATGGAAGAAAGAATGATTATTTAGTATTCACAACTAAAACATAATCCCACTAAGAATATTAAGAATTTAGATGTTCTATTTCACTCAAAGGGGAAGCCAACCATGGGAGGTGACACAGACCTCTAAACGCGGTGGGAGGACTGAAAGAAAAACAACAACATATGCAAAGGGTGGAGGATTCCACTAGAAGAGGATTGTGTGGTGTGGATATGAGATTCTTTTATTTTAATTTTATCATTTTGCATTGACTTAGATTCAAATTTTTCACACGAACTCTCGTATTATGCTTGTGTGTCAATTTGAATATAATTTTGAGATTCTAGTACTTTGATCGAAAACAACATAAGGGCTGGTTATTTATTTTTAAATCATAGAAGATAAATCAAAAAGGCCAAACCAAGTGAACAAAATGAAATTTATCTCTCTCTCTCTCTCCCTCTCCCTCTCCCTCTCCCTCTCTCTCTCTTTGTGGAAATCATGAAATTGATTTGAACAGTAAGATGTGTTGCCGTGTTGGTGGTTTAGAAACAAGTTGGAATGAGAGCAATTTAAACTTTAAAAAAGTTATAGTTTGAATAGTTTCTCTGTTGCATGTCAACAATTACTTGAATATGTATATTAGTAATGATATGTAGTAATTCAATCATAAAATTAAGTCCCAATAAAATGATGCCATGTAAATATTTGTACATATATATATTGTGACTGATGATTGGTGTTATATTGTAAGTTTTGGAGTTGGGGATTATAGTCCACTCTGTAATTATTGGAATTTCCTTGGGTGCTTCTGAAACTCCAAAAACCATAAGGCCTCTTGTGGCTGCCTTGACATTTCATCAATTTTTTGAGGGCATGGGACTTGGTGGATGCATAGCTCAGGTATCAACACCACTACTCAATTTAACTTTCATTCTTTTTTTTTTTTGTCTAAAGTTATAGTCTATAGGCCCTAGGCTTGGTTTTCAGCTTTTGAATTACACCATAAACTTTTAAATTGACATCCATTGGAAATGTTTACAACATCATTTTAGCTTAATTAATTTTTGGGGTTACTCACATCTTGCCTAAGTCTTGTAATATAGTTTTTTTTTATTACATAGACTTAATATGGATATGATCCTTTGGTGGCTCATCAAATTAAATTAAAATTATATTATTTTTTTTTATGTGGATGGGACCTTTGAGGATGGACCAGTACGTATCATGTATAGCCAAGATCACAATCTAGATCCCCTCAAATAAATTTTTCCTCTATTTTTTTCTTGACAAATCATTTATCATTAATAAGCGAGGAACCTTCTTGTGAATAATAGGTTGCACAAAAATTCTCAATAGGAAGAAAAACAGAAAGAACATAGATCGGAAGAGATCTTAGTCTAACAATCAAAAGCTTGTGATTCAAAGTCAAAATTAACACATCAAGCAGTAAATACTTTATGTTTTCTTTTGGACTTCTCTAGGAAAAATTCAAATTTTGGGTTGTTGCAATAATGTTGGTGTTCTTCTCTCTGACAAACCCGATTGGTATCTTAATTGGCATTGGAATAACAAACATTTACAAGCAGAACAGCCCAACTGCTCTGATCGTTGAAGGGGTTTTAAACGCAGCATTAGTAGAGATATTGATCTATATGGCACTTGTGGATCTTCTCTCAGCAGATTTTATGAACCCAAGAATGCAGAACAATGGAAAGCTTCAGTTACAGGCTAATGTTTCCCTCCTCTTTGGTGCTGGCTTCATGTCTCTCTTGGCTAAATGGGCTTAAAGCTTTTTGTTGCTACACTTTGGAGAACTTATTTGATTTTGAGTATATAGCTCAAACTTTATAGTTATTAAGTGTAAATATTTAAATTTTGCTTGTTATTTTCTTATTAAATACACAAGTCAGTTTTCAATATTTTCTTATTATTTTTTATTAAATTTTGCTTGATTAACTTATAACATATTTTGTTCTTTTCTTTTTTTTTTAATATCTGTTTCACCGTTTTTAGGAACCTTAACTGAGTGTCATACATTTTCATACAAAAAAAAAAAATACAAGGGCGGCCCAACATAAATTGGGGATTAAAGCGAGAAAATATTTTACAGAAATTTACAATATGATTTATTTTCAAAGTTTTAGTGGTTTTGGGATTGAGCAGGATCAAACAATGAATTGGGTGTAATTGTGATATCAAGATCTTATAGATAAATAAATTGAATAAAGTTTTAAAAAAATAACAATATAACTGAACATACGGACAAAGACTAGAGCAAGACAATGAGACTGGAAGGGAGAGAAAGAGTTGGTGAGAAGCGGTGAGAGTGGAGGAAAAATTAATGAAAAGAAATTGAGAGAGATTGCAACTTTTAAAGCTAGAAGTCATTAATTTTAGATTTGTTTAGAAGACTTTATCATATTTTAGGACTTTCTATAAAGATTTATATAGACGTGTGAAAATATTGTTATATTTTAGAGTTTTCTATAACGTTTTGATAGACTTGTGAAACATATTTGGCCTTTAATTTAGTTCTTTCAAAAGGACCTCAAAACTTGAAGCTAAACAAAGGGCTGAAAGTTAAATTGGATCTCTAAATTTTTTAGGTTCTAGATGACTTTTTTATTGGTCGGGCCGTAGGGTAACCTTGCTGTGCCTCCTCTTTAAAAGATTGAAGTATCTGTACATCTCGCAACAATTGTAGTATTTACTCATCCCTTGCTGTCAAGTCTTCGTCCATGAAACTGATTAAGTGAGACAAATTGATTAATGGATGATGCGCAAGGATTAAAAGTAATATATGTATTATTTTATATTTGATGCATTTTTTATTGACCGTTATAAGGTACTATTACAATAAAAATGTTCAATATTACAATGTGGTGTCACATAATTTTTCTTTTTTAGTAATTTAGGAATCTAATATAAACATTATTGAAATTTGTTTTATATTAACTAGTTTGTATTGTGGATCATTTATGAGAATGAACAATTTCATTAGTTGGTATTTTTGTGTTTAAATAAAAACTAAATTGAGTTTAATAAATAGTGTTTTTTTGGAAGAGAGATACTTATTATATTTTTTTATCAAAGAATAAACTTTTTTTTGTCCTTTAATAAATGTGTATGTGTGAGGTGGATTGCACTTTTAGACGTAAATTTTAAATTTTATTTTTTTTGATGTAATTTTTCAAGAGTTGGGAGGGGCTTTTTGACGGTATAAGCAATCATGGCTCCCTTGGTTCCCGCGCACGTGTCACCCCACGTCTTTCAAGCCTTAAATACTCAAAACGGCTGAAAGAAAAAGTACAAAATCACCGTTCATCTTCTACGCTGTTCACCTTCGTCTCTGACTCTTTCTCTCTGTGATTTTTGGGCTTTCCTCCACACGATTCTCTTATTCTCTACTCTAAACTGTGTTTTTGGGTTCGATTTGAAGTCTTACTTTGTTCCTCTCCTCCAATTTTGTTCTTTGGCTGCTGTTTGTTGCTCTTTTTCCTGTCTAGGCACGCTTCCTTATGCCCCTTTCTCTTTCTGTTGCCTTTCCTCACTGTGGATCCCTCGACTTCGAGGTGACCATTGTTTTTCTGGGTTTTTCGGTTCTTTTTCTTTTGGAATCGCGATCGTTGCCTATCTCCTCTTCCCCGCTTTGTAGATTGAAACTCCACTGTGCGAATTCTTACTGTCGGGAGGTACAGTGCTGACCCTGAAATTATCAGGGGGTGTTTAGTTAGTATCCCTCCTTTTTATAATTCTTTCTCTTTGCCTCTCTCTTTACCATCATGTCTGCCCCTCTGGAGCAATTCCCTCCTAGGCGACAGGTAGGTGATGAGATTGACAACTTCCTCAGTGTTGAGGCTGTCGATACCGAGGTGGACTCCAAGGAACTCCCCTCATCTTCCTCTCATGTACCTCCTAGTGCTGACAAGGGTAAGGGCAATGTGAGTGAGGTTAGGATTCCTGACCATACATTGGGTATGGGGGCTGCCTTCAGGCATGCTGAGCTTGTGGGTCCTAGTGGGGTGGATCCTATTCTCATGGAAGCTCTTAGTGCTCATTTTGGTTTTTCCCCTGGTGTTCAGCCCTGGTGCCCGGATAAATTCACCCCATACATTGCCCAAGTGCACAAAAGAGTTTGTTTCTTTGTGGCCGCTTTCGAGAATGACCTTCGTTTCCCTATGTACCCCTTCATCAAAAATGTTTTGCAGCACCTTAATGTCTGTCTTGCTCAGCTTTCTCCTAACTTTTGGGGTATTTTAGTGGGTCTTTTAGTTTTCTTTAAGAAGCATGGGCTTGGGACTCCCACCATTTCTCTGCTTATGGACCTTTTTAATTGCAAGCTTATCTTAACTAAGGGCTTTCTATATGTTTCTAGGAGGACCTCGTCTAGGCAGATCATCACACACCTCTTGAGCTCTCATAAAGGCTGGAAAAAGAATTTCTTTTTCGTTGGGGGTGTCAACTGGGAATTTAAACTTGCTGATAAAACAGACACTCTTGGGATTCCCAGAGCCTGGTCAGCCCCAGATAACTTAGGTGAGTTCTTGCTTGATTGAACTGCGGTTTGAAGATTTATAAGTTGATTTCCTGACCTCTGCACTTTTGGTGTTCCTCCTCTTTTAGGCATTCGACCTGAACTCAGCGCCGAGGACAAACGGGTGAAGCTGAAGTTGGCTAAGTGTAATCCAGAGAGGTACTCTGAGCTCCTTAAGCCCTGGGAATTAGAAAGGCAAGGATTCGGCCCTCCTCCAATCCCACTTTCCTTTATCCGACCTGAGGGCGTAGAAGGTAATGTTCTTTCCCTTATTTGGTTTCATTGTTTTCCTCCCTTTCTTTTTCCTTTCAACTAACCAGCTTAGGTCAAATCTCTCAGGGTCTTCTGTGATGAAGCCTACCCCTGAGATGCTCCAAGCTAAGGTAGAGCTATTGAAGAAGAAAAGCAAGGGTGGTACCAAGCGCAAGGCTGAGGGCAGTTCTGGTGGGAGCCCAGTTACTCGAGCTAAGGTTCAAAAAATGGGTACTTCCTCTGCCTTTGTCCAGAAGGCTCCACCATCCCCTCTACATGCTTCACCAGCCTCAGGACCTCCTTTCTCCCAAGGGACCCGACCTACCACTCTTGGGCGAGACCGGTCCTCCCCTTCTACATCTGAAGTTAAGAGGGCCTTGGAGACTGTTCGCACTCTCCCTAGTTATGCTATCTCTGCGTCAACCAAAGAGGCCTCCCAATCTCATCCCACAAAATTCGTGGTAGGCAAAGGGGTCCTCCCGAAGTCTGAAAATTCCCTCATTACTGACATGAAGCGTGTTGCAGAGGCCATTGCCTCCATTATCCTGGAGTCTGACATTGATGCAGCCACTTCTGTACCCCTGGGAACCTGTGTTTTCACTGCATTGTATGGATGTACCTCGGTAAGATCCTAATTTATCAAATTCTTTCTTTTTCCTTTGGTTGTCCTGCACTCTTCCCTTTACACTAATTTTTCATGCTTGTCTTCAGACCGCCATTCAAATAAGCAGCTTGTTAAAGCGAATCCAAGCCCTAGAGGGGTCAGTCAATGCTTCCAAAGCTTTTGAGATGAAGTGTACCGATCTGGCCTTTGAGAATAATGACCTTAAGGTCCAAGTAAAGGAGTTGTAAGAGCAGGTGGAGCAACAGTCTTCCTTTGCCAAGTCTAGACAAAAGGAGCTCAGCAAGACTAAGGAAGACCTCTGGTCAAAAACCGATGACTGGATAGAGGAAAATCGGAAGTCCCTTGATGCTCTAGCTTCCTTCAGGAACATGAAGAGGAAGTACGAGGTGCTAGCAGAGGCCAATGATGTTGTCAGGGAGGAGTTAGGGGCTGCCAAGGAGGCACTAGAGGTACGAGACATTACCATCCAGAAAAAGGATGAGCTGATTGCCCAGCTAGAGGATGATGTTCTCACCAGGTGGACAAAAGGGTGGATTGCTTTCTAAGGTATAGCTGAAAGGACTTACCCTGAACTGAACTTTGACTTTTCAATTCCCCTTGAGGAAGAGGCCGAGGGGTTTGATGAAGAAGATGATGATGATCCTGCTCCTCCTATTTCTGAAGATGTGCCAATAGACTCTAGAGGGTTCATTCCTCTAGCTGGGACTTCAGCTCAAGATGCTTCTACCTCCTCAGGTATCTCTATTCCCCTGGCTGCTAAGCCTGCTTCTTCCCTCCCTGCTGAGGTGGCCACAAGAGTCTTGGTTGAATCTGAGGTCCCTACCTCTTTGCCTGGTCTTAGCCCTCATGAAACTTCAACTATTGCTGTGCCAGAGAGGTCGCCTGCTGAGCTGAAAGCCCTTCTTTCATTCCTTGTGCTGAGACATCAGCTACTGCACTGCAAGGCCCTTCATCTATGCTCCTTTCAAAAACTTAGGATTTGTAGTTTTGGGCTAATTATCTCAAAATTGTAACATTTTGAAATGAAAATTTCAGAATTATAGCATTTTAATTGTAGCATTTTGTATCTTTAATTTACAGCTTATAGCTTTCCTCCTTTCCTTTTGCTTTTAACTTGATGCTCTACTTTTCCATCAATTAAATATGATATTCCTCAGCTCTTCTCCCTTTACTTCAGGGGGTCATTCAGATCTCCTTAAAGTAAAAAAGTTAGGAATAACTGCTGATGTGCTTAGCTGACCTTCCAGCTCCTCACCCTGCTTCTGTCCGAACTTCAGCAACTGACCACCAAAGCTCTAGCCTTACTTCATTCTCAAAGATTTAGGATACAAAGCCAATTTTTTAAATTTATCAACTCATGGTTGTGACAATTTTAA